CAGGAGCAGGAGTCATGTTACCAGGAGCAGGACAGGAGCAGGAGTCATGTTACCAGGAGCAGGAGTCATGTTACCAGGAGCAGGACAGGAGCAGGAGTCTTGTTACCAGGAACAGGACAGGATTAATTTTTTTACTCTGGACCAGGATTGGGACAGGACAGGATTTTTTCTGTTGGACCAGGACAGGAGTGAAAATCTACTCCTGTGTCATCCTCTACTTGGCTGTTCTGTCCCTACAGCTTGTTCAGTGTCAGAAACACTCTCCACATCCCCTGAGCCCTTGAAGTTCACATCCGCTGGTTCAATGATGTTGACATTTTCCTCAGTAGTTTGTGTGGGATCACCCTGGCCATCTTCTGTCATGTGAAGAGGTTTGCTTACACAGCTGTCCATTTGTGGCACAAATTCTGCAGCTATGGGGTTCAGTGTAGGTGAACTAAGCTCTGGAAGAGGCCATGTGAAAATTACATGAGAGAAGTCCTCATGCGAAACCACCTCCTCACGTCCCATTTGTTGAGTGTGTAGGGCACTGAACAGAAATATTCACATATAAAATAAGTTAACAGAAACATTCATATTTAAAAATAATAATTAACATTATTTATCAGAGGAGCAGACTGCTTTGAGTTAACGCCGTCGCTAAACTCTCACTCTTAATAGTGAACTAAAGTTCATTAAAAGTTTATTAGCAGGATTTATAAAAGTATTCGCACACCTGCCTTGACTCACATATGAGCTTATATGACATCCCATTCCTAATCCATAGGGTTCAATATGACGTTGGTAATGGACTGTAGCACCTTTCTATCTTATTTCAAGTTACTCAAAATGCTTTACACTACAATCTGTGCCTCATTTACCCATTCATACAGCTCTCTACTAGATCTCTACAAATCTAATTGAACAAATCATTCTGAAGAGACTAATCAGAGCTTTATCACATTCATACACTGATGGGACACACATCAGAGGAGATGAGCGTTTCCGTGTCTTGCCCAGGGACACTTCAGCATGTGACAGCTTATGAATTCGAACCCCCAACTCTCGCATTGGAGGACGACTGCTCTAACGACTCAGCCACAGCCTTTGCAGCTAGAACAGCTTCAACTCTTCTGGGAAGGCTGTCCACAGGTTTAGGAGTGTGTTTATGGGGATTTTTGACCATTCTTCCAGAAGTGCACTTGTGAGGTCACATACTGATGTTGGACGAGAAGGCCTGGCTCTCAGTCTCCGCTCTAATTCATCCCAAAGATGTTCTATCGGGTTGAGGTCAGGACTCTGTGTAGGCCAGTCAAGTTCATCTACACCTGACTCTTCCATCCATGTCTTTATGGACCTTGCTTTGTGCACTGGTGCACAGTCATGTTGGAAAAGGAAGGGGCCAGATCCAAACTGGTCCCACAAAGTTGGGAGCAAGAAATTGTCCAAAATGTCTTGGTTTGCTGAAGCAGTCAGAGTTCCTTTCACTGGAACTAAGGATCCAGGCCCAGCTCCTGAAAAACAAGCCCACACCTTAATCCCCCCTCCACCAAACTTTACACTTGGCACAATGCAGGCAGACAAGTACTGTTCTCCTGGCAACTGCCAAACCCTCTTGCATTTTGCTTGTACCAGTGAAGTTTAACTCTGCTGTCTTGATCATCAGGCAGTGAACATGTGAATGTTGCACGTTCACCAAGTTAAACTGTGGTCACTGGAACCAACGTGTCTGTACATTGAAGATAATGTATAACATGCTGTGTATTCATTCATCCATCCATCCATTATCTTTACCCGTTTATTCCATTTTTGGGTCACGGGGGTCGCTGGTGCCCATGTCCAGCAATCACTGTGCGAGGGGCGGGGTACACCCTGGACGGGTCGCAAGTCCATCACAGGGACACATAGAGACAAACAACCATTCACTCTCACCTAGGGACAATTTAGAGTTACCAATCAGTCTAACATGCATGTTTTTGGTCTGTGGGAGGAAACCGGAGTACCCGGAGAAAACCCACGCATGCACGGAGAGAACATGCAAACTCCACCCAGAAAGGCCCCTGGACCGGGGTTTGAACCAAGGACCTGCTCGCTGAGAGGCAGCAGCTCTACCAGTTGCGCCACCGTGCTGCGTGTATTCATTCATTCAACCTGTATTTAGACAGGTTAATCCCACTGAGCCTCAAGGACGCATTTACAAGAGAGACCTGATTTCAACAAAGAGTGATGACAACAGTGGACAACAAAGACAAAAATAGACAGTTATAAAAAGGCATACAGATTTTTTTAAATACAAATAAGATGGCAAAAAAGTGACAAACAGCTAGATTACAAGGCAAATGTAGAAAAACTAAAAACAGGAACATGTCTGCATTGGTCCTTGCCAGGAGTCCAACAGATGTTTAAAGCCACTTAGAGAGGTCAAGGTCGAGAGCTTCAATCTTTTTGTAAGATATTCCAGGAAACAGGAGCAGAGTAGGAGAAGACCCTTTTTCCAAGTTCAGTTCTCACTGAGGGAACACTGCAGGTAATAATGTCCTGAGAGCGCACGCTGTAGCTGCCCTCATGCAAAGACATGTAGGAGGAGATGTATGAAGGCAGCAGACATGAAAATGTACCAATGAGAGAGTCTGCGTGAAGTTAATGATGTCCAGTTAACCAGTGAATACAGGGTGCAGTGGTGGGTACGATAATCACAGCCAGTTATGAATCTTAGTGCACCATGATAGACAGCATCCAACATCTGCAGGGTTCTTGTAGGAGCGTTCATGTAAATAATGTCACCGTAATCAATGGAGAGAAGGAAGGTCACAGATACAAGGTGTTTCCTAGCATTCAGAGTTAGACAGGATCTGTTTCTGAAAAAGAAACCCAGTTTAACTTTCAGTTTCTTTACCAAGTTTTTCACATGAGCCTAAAAGAGAGATGTGAGTCGACCAAGATACCCAAATATTAATAGGAATCAACAAACTCAATGGGGACACCATTTGAGGATAAAATCGGGGGAAGAACTGCTGGGACCGACTTCCTGTTTGAAAAAAGCATCCCTTTAGTTTTTCATCATTTAGGACAAGTTTGAGGCGGAACAAATCAGTCTGGATGATGTCAAATGTGGATTGCAAAAGCTGGAAAGCCTTATCAACTGTTTTAGCTCGACAATAAACAACTGTGTCATCAGCATAGAAATGTATGGATGCTTCAAGGATGCTCTGACCTACATTACCTATGTAGATTGTAAAGAGGGGTCCTAAGACTGAGCCTTGTGGTACACCATTGTTGACTGTTAAATAACTGGAGGAAGTACCATTATGTTGAACACATTGCCTTCGATCTGAGAGATAGTTAGAGAACCAACCAAAGGCGTGATCTGAGAAACCAATTTCTGAGAGTTTATGACACAAGATGTTATGATCCACAGTATCAAAAGCATAATCCTTAGCATCCAGTGCTTCAACATCATTAAGAACCTTCAGTGAAGCAGTGGTTGTGCTGTGTTGTTTCCTGAAACCAGATTGATAGAGAGGTAAGATGTTAAATGAGTCCAGGTAATCTTTGATTTGAGAGTTTATCAGTTTTTCTAGAACCTTGGCTAAAATGCCGAGTTTAGAGATTGGTCGATAGTTGTTCAGTGAGGTGGGGTCTCCTCCCTTCAGCAAAGGAAGAACAAATGCTGTTTTCCAAGTGTCTGGGATGGAGTTTTGTCTTATGGAGAGATTGAAGATGTGGGTCACAGGGACTGTGATGATATGAGCAGCCAGCCTTAAGAAATAAGGTGGAAGTTCATCTGGACCTGCAGATTTTTTAGGGTCAAGATCTTTTAACAGTTTATTAACCTCACTGACTGAGAACGGAGAAAAAGAGAAGCTGTGATTAACTGAGGATTGACTTGTAGGAGGGATTTGATTTGTAGAAGTTTGGTTATTAAGTGAAGTGGCTGATTCTCCATTAGTAACTGTGTCAAATAATGAATTACAAAGTAGAAGCGACAAAATGTTTGTTGAAACAGTTCAGGATCTCGTGCTTATTTGACACAGGAACAGAGTTAATGAGAAGTTGTGATGGGAGGTCAGATGATTGGTGGGTGCCTGAGAGAGATTTGATGGTTTTCCAGTACACAAATCATTGTTTCAGGTATGCTAATGACACCTGGGTTAAAATTAAATCTCAGTAAGTCCAACATTAATATTAACATCATTAATATGAATCTGTTTATGAATAAACCGTTGTAATTGTAGAAAAGTATGTGCTATACTAGTAATTAATTATCTTAAATTTAAAGCAGTGTTGTTTTTTTCCAACTCAAGCTCATCGTGTAATTAATTAAAAAATGTTTCGTTTTCCCCATTTTTCGCATAACGAACATTCAAGCGCAAAAACAAATTAATAAATAAATAATATCTTTTAAGCGCACTTCCGGCTCCAATGATGACGACAGCAGTTTAACCCGGAAGTGGGAGGACGTGCTCGTAGAAAAAAAAAAAGACTGAACAGAGATGTGATTGTTCTGTCTTGCCTTCGACAAGAGTGAACTCCTGGCTTTTATCAGCTAGTGAACGGCGACAATAAGGACTAGTTCAGCTGTCCGGGACACGGAATGTCGTTTCAAACGGAGGTGACATTCGGTAATTCGTTGAATCTCAAGACGCGGATGATGCTAACAACACGGCTAGGGTAAAAACCGCCGCCTTATTTCCCGGTGTCTCGGCTGTTTGTTGAAGGATTTGCCACCTGGAAGCTACACAGCAGGTGTGAAGCAGGATACTTCAGGGACACATCAGCGCTTGGGACAGCCACGTCAGCTATCTGTCTGCTCTGATACGAGCACGTTTCTGTTGCTTCCTGAGTTTATGATCCGCATTGACCCATGGCTCCGATGGGTATACGGCTCTCCCCGCTCGGTGTGGCCGTGTTCTGCCTGCTTGGTCTCGGTGTCATCTACCACTTATATGCCGGGGTATTTTCCATCCGCCTGTCTGTCTTCAGGTAACATCGTTTTTGTCTTATTTTATTGACATTACAGATGGTTGACAGTACATGTGAGTTCATTAAATTATTTGTTTAAATGTGTAATTTAAAGCTGATTAAAGTTGGAGTGAAATAATACATTTTATATGAAGTGCTATATATTTAAGAATTGGGGACATGGGTTGGTTCAATTTTATCAGACAACAGGTTTTCAGGTCCAGCCATGATCTGGGTTTTTTAAATCCCGTAGAGTGGTTAAATATAAATAAGTGCTGGAGATTAAGGTGTGAAATAATCCTGGATGCAGATTCACACCTACATGTTTCAGGTGCGACAGACTTGGACTTGTTTTAGTGTAAAATGTGTCTGAATGTTAAAGACTGAGAATAACAATGGTTTGAGTATGAACTTTTTTATTTATTACTGTACTGGTTATTCCCCCAATGCTAGCTGCTTATTTTATTTTATAGAGTAAATGTTTAACCTCATTGTTTAAAAAGAAAAACATGATTCAAAGCCATTTTTATTGTTTTATTTTATTATTTATTGGTCTTTGAGGAAACACTATCTTTGTCTCTGTGAGACGAACTGTGGACATCAGTTATTGTTCTTAAAACATTAAATGGTTTGAAACAAAACGTTCAGTCTGTTTTTTACATTTTCTGTGCTTCGCAGGTTGATTAGTTTTTTTCAGTTCTTATCTTCATCCTGTTTTTGTTTTTATTCTGTCTGCAGGCAGAAGAAAAAGGTGGATCTGAGGGACCTACTGGCCGTCTCTGTGGAGGCTGCAGTACTCGGTGGTAAAGAGGTGAAAACAAACATTCAAGTTACTTACAAGTTCTTAAAACAAGTCTTTCATAAGTTCTGACAAGGTTAAGTCAGGTTCTCTGGACGGATTCTTATTTGTTGAAACGTTTACTCTTTTATCCAAAATACTTCTTCACTCTGAAACCCCGTTCATTCAGAATCTGGGTCTGTGCCTTCTGTAGGACCTTGCTTGCTCAGAGAAGAAGATTTGAGTTCCAGGCTCTTAGGAAAGGTGCCACTCTGTCTGCATTTGAGGTTGAATCTCAGGTGGTTCCTGTAGTCCACCCTCTTCCCTGCTGTTTGATCAAACTCTCGAACTAGTTGTTTGAGGCAGTCCTGGCCAAAGTGGTTCAAAACGTCCTGATGCTTGCTCAGAAGTCCAGGTCGAAAAATCTAACATGGTTAAGTCAGGCCATCTGGGCGGATTCTTCTTTGTTGAAACGTTTCGTCTTTTATCCAAAAGACTTCTTCAGTCTTTCACAAGTTCTCATTATGAAAACCATTATTGCAATAACAGTGCTAAAATATGTTTGGATGTATTTTATGATGTTTAAATGTTCTCATTCACTCTTTGCCATTTGATTAGAGGTAATCTTTCCTTGTTTACGTGCTCTATAACTACATTAAACTAACAAGTTAATTTAATCAAAACCAATGAAAAATTGATGACATAGACTGAACTGTGCGCTTGATGGTGATGTTTGAGTTCTAGCGACGATGGTGATTATTTTCTTGTCAAAGTTTAATTGTTTATCTGTGTGTTTTTAATTGATCAGTTCACCTTTTCTGACAGAGTAGATAACCAATGATTTCATCAACTCTTCAAACCAACAGCCTTTTTAAACACGAAGCTTTTATTTATTTAAAATTGGACATTTACAGCTTGTATACATGTTAGTGTCTTACATAAACAGAATTTACCACTTTACTATAGCAGCTGGTTAAATATGCGTTTTTCCTACTTTGTTCAGGTGAAAAGAGTGCGTGATGGTAATATTCTCGAGGAGAAGTCAAAGGGCGAGACAAAGGAGGGAGCCAAGGAGCTTCTGACCTTGGGTGACCTCCAGTCTCATAGGAAGATGTTTAACCTCATAAAGAACACGTATCCTGAAATCACGGTGAGCACAGCCACTTTCTGTAACTATGAACTTTGCTTTTCCATTATCTTGTTTACATTATTTAATAGATAAAAACTCCCAGCTATAATTATATTGACAGTTTAGGATATAAATCACAAAACGGTGATTTTCATTCAACGGCAACCGAGCAGAAATCCTAGTTTTGATGCAGTAACATAAAATGTTAACTCTGAGCAAAGTTGCAGGGGTTTCAATTGAAGCTTTATTTGCTCTATATTATTATATTTGACTGGTAACTGTAATGTGAGATGATGTCTTGTTTGGATTAAAAATTCAGACGGTATGGGACAGATAATTATTTCTGTAAGTCCTTGTTTTTAGGTTCACAGTGAGGAACGTGACAACAGTGTGGATTCAGTATCCTGGAGCCAGGATATTCCAGCAGACATTTTAAACAAGATCAAGAAGGGCGTCGAGTTTCCTGCAGAGAGCATCACAGTGTGGATCGACCCTCTGGATGCAACTCAGGAGTATACAGGTGTGAAGTTCACTCAAAGCATTTTATGATTTATTTTAGATGAACATTAAGCACCTTCTCAGCTGCTGTCTGATGAAACTCAGTGTTTGTATCTGGTGTAATTGGAGGTCTGGTTCTGTGGCTGGTTTATTACACGAACAACAAAAAAAACAGCTGCAGACTCACATTGTACTTTAAAAAGGAGTTATGTTATATCATGAGCTGTTCTTGAGTAAATTCACATTTTCTGTGTGAGATCACAGTGGAAAAAAAGTCATTTTGTCGTCTTTTTGGATCAGTTTTCATCCCTTGTACTCATCAAATAATATTCTGTGTATATAATGTATTATTATGTATATTATAGTGCTGCAACTAACAATTATTTTAATAATCTATTAATCTGTCATTTTTTTCGATGAATCGGCAAAAACCCCCAAATGTTTTAATTTCTACCTCTTTATTCCAAAATTGAACATTTGACTGACATGGCAAATCACGCAAAAAACAGGTTGCTACTTGACTATTCTGTTAGTAAAATATTGAATAATAAAAAATAAAAAAAAAGTGAGTCAAATAGCTTCAATAAAAAATAAATGTACACAAAAATATATACAAATGTATGCTTTATACCTGCACAATATGTAGCTACTTTGTAAAATGTGTCCTTGAGGGAAGAGTGTAACCTGGATTAAAAGTGTGGATTATTGTAGTGAAGCCATCGTCTCCAACCATTGACAGAGGCCTCATGTCAGTGTGGTGTACATGATGTCTGTCCATCATGAAGGCTGTCATTTGTTGTTTTCTGGAATGAGCGAGTTTATATGTATTATATCATAATTTACAGCAACTCAAGAAATGCCTTGTTTCACTTAATGTTGGGTTAAGGCAAAAATAGCTCAAAGAGCAATTAAACACACACAAACTACTAATTACACACAACTGAGTAGATGAAATAAATTACTTTAATTCCTGAATAAATGCAATTCATCCTGCCATACTGTACAGTGTCTTCAGACTTTGCCAGCAAATTAAAAGTTGAAGCTTAATCATTAAATTATTATCTTTGTGTTAGATTAATTTATAGATCATATTTAAACACTGCTTGTACCAATTAAATAAAGTAGTAACACACAAGTACTCTATCACTGTCATTAAACAGCTAATAAACAACCAGCTTCATCTACCAGAGAGACTGACGTTACGTTTTCTCACTTGGAAACCGAACAAATGTGAATATTGTAGAGACTTACTGCTGCCGAGCTCCTTCATATACACAGCCGTGAAGTTAGTTTACAACTCCTACATGTTTATCAGCATGGTGCTCCGTGTCACATCGTCACTTTTCAAAGCTGTATGTTGCGCAGTTTTTATCTTTGTGAAGCTTCAAGTGCTCCCACACTTTTGAGAACTTGGGTCGAACCGTTTTCTCAGCATCGGTCATTTGTAAAATTTACTTAACTTCCTTTGAAAACGCCGCCTCTGCTCTGCTTACACCTCGCTCTGTTCAACTCGTGCCGCAGTTTAAAAAAAAACTTTATTTAGTCAGCCAGCATGGACAATGCTCTGCAGGTGAACAAAACAGCTCCGCAGCGCCGTGAGAGACGCTTAATCGCACGACATAACTAATCAATAATGCAATTTGTTGCAAATGCTTTTAATCAATTTTTATTGATTTATCGAGTCGTTGTTGCAGCCCTAGTATATTATATATCATTATTGTTATATATTTTAAATATAATCAATTCATTATTGGCAGCACGGTGGCACAACTGGTAGAGCTGCTGTCTCTCAGCGAGCAGGTCCACGGTTCAAATCCCGGTCTGGTGCCTATCTAGATGGAGTGTGCATGTTTTCTCCGTGCATGTGTGGGTTTTCTCCAGGTACTCCAGTTTCCTCCCACAGACCAAAAACATGCATGTTAGACTGATTGGTAACTCTAAATTGTCTCTAGGTGTGAGTGAGAGAGTGAATAGTTGTTTGTCTCATTTGTCTATGTGTCCCTGTGGTGGACCGGAGACCTGTCCAGGGTGTCCCCTGTCCCTCGCACAGTGATTGCTGGACATGGGCACCGGTGACTCTCATGACCCAAAATGGAAGAAGTGGGTAAAAGATGATGGATGGATGGAATTCATAATTAGTAATTATAAATAAGTTATTATATTATGTATTGTTGGATGTATTATTATTTTTATTATGTATATTGTTCATTATATTGTGTAATATTCTCAGTTTTTTTTTTAAATATGGTTTTCAGTGGTTTTATTTAGTAACTGTCTTGGTAGGTCACTTTTGTTGTGTGACTGAAGCATAAAAGAGATTAAATTCACTCTGGTAACAGCCTTGGCCCTCTGGACCTTGTGGCAGCACTTTAATGTTTTTATAGGACCACCTTTGTGTTGCTGCACGTATTGAATGCATGCATGCATGAATTGTGCCGCTCAAGGTGGCTGCATGTTGGAGCAACTCTTTCATATTGAGATTTTGCTTTTGGAAACATTAATTCCTCTTTTTCTAGATGTAAATCACATTTTTTTTGGATGATTAGTTTCCTCTGGTATCAGATGCTGTGCAGCAGGAAGGATTTTTACTGAAACTTTTTTAGTTTTGGACATTTGTTATGATGCATAACCATGGCAACAAGGCAGTTTTCTACAACCAACAGCAGCTGATTAACATCTCAAAAGCTCAAATAATATCTCAACTACAGCCCCAAATCTCAAGTGAGTTGAAAAGGATGTTCTGTGGATGCATTCTCATCTACCTGCCAGCTGTGCTCAAGTGCCTGACCACTGAGATCCTGGAACTAGCAGGAAACACGGCTCATGACAGCGGAAGGACAGGATCGTCCCTCGGCACCTACAGTTGACTGTCCACAGCGATGAGGAGCTCGGCAGACTGCTGGGAGGAGTGGCCATCACTCTGGGAGGAGTTCTGCCCGGCATTCGGGTGGTCCTACAGACCGGGGGAACCGAGAGGCCAGCCGAGTCTGGGTGGACTGATCGGACGGCATCTGCAGCCAGTTTCTTAGGATCCACTGTGGGATGGACCTTTACAAGAGATCCTTCCTGTCTACAGCCATCAGCATCTATAACATCTCTTAATGAAATTAGGATAATGAGTTACAACGACAAATAATTTCCCTTGGGATTAATAAAGTATTTTTGAATTGGATTGAATGTACTGTGTTCAGAGATTAAACTGATATGTTGTTAGTCTGAACACAGTTTTATGTTCAAGAAAACTTCTCGCTGATGAAGTAATACATTGGAGAAAAAAATTTATATTATCCACCTTGCATTTTAAGTTTTTGTAGACAAATAAAAATTTCCCCAAGTGGACAATACAGTCCATTTAATTTAGTTTGATCTCACACATACCTGCCAAATCATTACTGTGACTACCTCAGTTTTTGGTTTTGAGGTGCGTCATTGCTGTTCTGTTTTGTGCTGTTGTGTTTTACATATGAAGCCAACAAAAAGCTCATCAGGCCGACATGGAAGTGTTGTGTGAAAATGGCTCTGACGAGCTCTGGAAGGTTTCTGTACTTTAGTTGAATTTGATACAGCAACAACTTTATCTTTGGGCTTCATGGGCAAAATACATATCTCTACAGATATCCTGAGATCTAATTATTTTCGTCTCTACAGAAAACTTGGTGCAATATGTGACGACTATGGTGTGTGTAGCAGTAGACGGTAAACCAGTGATCGGGGTCATACATCAGCCATTAACAGAGTTCACTGGTAAGAATGTTGAACTTATTTGCTTTTCAAAGTACTCCACTTGTAAATCTTTTGACTCACTAAATAAAATATTCAGCAGAAGCTTTTTTGTAATTGTATGAGGTTTATCATTTTACCCTGTAATTTTTTTTATTATTGTTCTCAGTTAATGTCTCATTTGTCTTTGTGCTAATATGAGCTGTGGAGTTTTTCCTAAAAGTGATTTTTTTGGTGAAAAGTAGTGTAAAATTCAAGGTTAGATAAAATACTGACTAATACTTTGTTGTGTTTGAACTGTTCTCTCTCTGCACCCTCGCCCAGCCTGGGGGTTTGTAGGTCAGGGGTCAAATTTACATCCCAGATCGTCCTACAGTATGAACCCTCCTAAAGTGATTGTTTCGCGCTCCCACTCTGGAGACGTTAAACTGTTTACTCAGAAGGCTTTTGGAAACGCATCAATCATCACAGCAGGTGGAGCCGGTGAGTAGAAACTTTCACTTGTTTTCACTGTGTGAATGTCTCTAAACGTTTTCTCAGCAAATCTGAGAACAACTGACTGAAAGTAGATTAAACGTAGAAATGCACAATATTTTTGGCATGGTATTAGTACCGGCCGATATTAGTGATTAAGTTAAATATTGGACATCGGCCATTCCATCAAAATAACTCACTGATACAAAAGTCTTCTGTTTTAACTGTCAAGTATTTCTATTAATGCACTACTACTTATGCACTTTTCACTCGTCGCTTGTGAACAGGTTGAGTTTAGAGTTGTGAAAATTTACAAATTTGCACTGTTCAAGTGTTGTCGTGGTAGAGAGTAAATGTCATGAATAAATTTGACATTAAACATAATCCAAGGTGAAGTGTTGCATCATTTTCAGCCTCCTTTTTGGCATCTGCATTTGGAAGCAGGCAAACTGACAAAGCCTGTGCAGAATAATGTATTTTAATTCCACAGCAGAGGAAGCTTTGGTCTCTGTCAGGCCTCTCTTGTAAATGAGTCCTCGAGGCTCAATGAGATTAACCTGTCTAAGTAAAGGTTCAATGAAAAGTAGGTCTAGGAAAAAAATATCGTTATTGGTATCTGTTATCGGCCAAATAAGTTTTAACATATTGGTAGTTTTATAGTCAAGACCACCTAACCCGAGACCAAGACCTCAAATAAAATATAAAATTTTATCATAAAATATTATAAAAGTTACATACTGCAACTTTAAGTTTGCTTTTGAATGAATATAACAGCTTTTATAAATTTTCAAAGCTACGTAACAAATAAATCAGACATTCAGTGGCCTAACTTCATGATTCAACAATAAAATTACACAACTGTTAAACTGGAAGCAGTTTCATCACATGTCAAGCCTTAAAAACTGCAGTGGTAAAACACTCTTCATATGTCCAAACTCAAAACCAAGGATAACCATATAGTTGCACATTGGTTTCAATAAAGTTGTAGATATACATCTAAAAAGTTATGTAAATGGATATTAGTTACAAGTATGTTATTTGTGATTTAAATAGCCAAATTTTATAACTGATGATTTAGCAAACATCTTCTCCCGCACCCAGACAATCACTTCTCACTTTCCAGTGTTGCCAGATAGTCGGGGTTTTCCAGCCCAAACCTGTTAAAAACTGCCACATCACACAAAAATCTGCCCAGTCAATATATTGTTACAGTGTATTTACTGTTTGAACATGAACGCACATCAGTACAAGTCAAGGTAATTTAACAATATGTGGCAAAACGCACCAATCCAACAAAAATCTTCCCAGAGTTCCCAGCAAAATCAGAATGAAAACTACCCAACTGGCAGTAAACCACCCAATTTGGCAACACTGGGAGTGATGCATGCGAGTGAAAGAGGGTTGGCGTGACAGCGGTAACAAAACATGTGTTTAGCAATGAGTCACGTTATCGCTCAGATTTGAACCAGTACGTTTTGCATCCAATAAAAACAAATATGTTAACAAGTAAACTGGACAGTTCTGGCAATTCAGTGATTGTTCCACAGTTGTGGTCTTGACTGGTCTTGAAATAAAATCTCGAGTCTTCAATGTCCGAGACCAGGACAAGACCGAGACCACCAAAAAGTGGTCTTGAGACCGTCTCAAGACCAGTCTCGAGTACTAAAACATTACATATTGGCATATCGAATATCGGCCATAAATGGTAAATGATAAGTGGACTGTACTGATATTGCGCCTTTTTTATTTTATTTCAAGATACTCAAGCGCTTTACAGTACAATCTGTGCCTCATTTATCCATTCATACAGCACTCTACTGGATCTGTACAAAGCTAATGGAACAAATCATTCTAAAGAGAATAATCAGAGCTTTATCACATTCATACACTGATGGACACACATCAGAGGCAACGAGGGGTTCAGTGTCTTGCCCAGGGACACTTCAGCTTGTGACTACTGGTGGATTCGAACCCCCAACTCTTGCATTGGAGGACGACTGCTCTAACCACTCAGACACAGCCGCCCCAAATATTGTGCATCCCTAATTAAACATTAATAATTTTCAGTTATTTTTTAACAATGTCATAAATGTGCGACTACACATAGGTATATGAAATCAAAGCAAAAGTTTTTCTCAAATAGCTCAAACACCCAGTTAGAGTGATGTAAATCTATAACATTTAAAATGAACATACACGCATCAGGTGCTGTATTTTCTGCAGTTTTCTGGAGTTCTGATCATGGAGGCTCTGTTCATAATATTTAGAAAGCCAGCGCAGGATGGCCGAACCATTGAACAAGAACAGTTCCTGCAAAGACTTTTTTTAATGTAAGACGTTTTCTGTTTATTATGTCTCACAGGATACAAGGTTCTGTCTCTGCTGGAGATGCCTCCAAGTGATGCATATCTTATGGACCAAGCAGATCTTTATGTCCACATCACGTTCATTAAGAAATGGGACATCTGTGCTGGTGCAGCGCTGCTAAAATCACTTGGTAATTAAAAAATTATCTATTTGTTCTGTTTTTTTTTTTTTCTCCCAAATATTATTTCTCAACATTTTAGGAAGTCAAAGTTTGCTCACCAGGATACATTTTAGTATAGTATATACTCTTTAAAACTCCTGGAGCCTTTTTTCCATCTTCATCTTTTGGCTTTTCGCTCTTCAGGGTCTCCACAGCGAGTCGTCCTCCTCCATCTCACTCTGTCCTCACTCCAACTACCTCCATGTCCTCTCTAACTGCATCCATATATCTCCTCTTTGTCTTTCTCCTGGCAGCTGCATTTCTAACATCCTTCTACCAATATACCCACTGTCCCTCCTCTGGACATGTCCAAACCATCTCAGTCTGGTCTCCCTATCTTTATCTCCCATTTGTTCAACCTGTGCTGTACCTCTGATCTCATTCCTAGTCTTATCCATCCTTGTCACTCCTAATAGAACATCAACATCTTCAGCTCTCTCACGTTCAGTTCTGTCTCCAGTCCCTGAAACCTTTATTAGGACTTTAAAATTAATTCTCTACAGTTTACATTTGTAGAGACAATTTATTACAAGAACTTATTCAATAAGTTCCTAAATAAACAGTTGTTGCTCTTTTTACCAGGATTGTATGGGCGTGGATTGAACAGATTTAATTGATCAAAGATTAAATCAAAGTTGTGTTTGAACCATCAGCTCATCCAGTATGGAGTGAGCAGGTTTGTGATGCCGTGGTTCATACGTTGTTCTCTGCAGACCTGACAGTAAGGATAGCATGTACAGAGACAATGCTAAAGCTTTTTTTAACCACCACATTATGGCTAAATGATCTCATTGTACAAAAGAAAAGAAAAGAAAAACAAGTCTAAACCATAAATCCAGTATAAAAGACATCTAGATTCATTCAGCTGTATTGTTAACAGGCGTAAAGTGCAGCAGTGTCGCGCACATTTACTTTTCATTCGAACTGGTTCAAAGTTCAGTTCACACAACTGAGCTAAATTCACACTCGTAGCATGACCTAGCTCGTGTTTGTTTACAATTTTAAGAAGATAGTCTTTATTCGATTGTCATCATCATCATCATCTTTTTATTTATAAAGCGCTTTAACACAGCCACAGCTGAAACAAAGTGCTGAACATCAGTTAGAAACATGAAGAGAGCATAAAAACAAAGCTACAAAGCCAAGCACACAGTGAACTAAAAACTCAATTTAAAACACAATAAAACGACGAGTTAAACGGATAAAATCAATAGCAATAAAAATGAAGTAAAATCAAGTCTCAGTTGGGTTGAAGGCCAATGACTAGAGATGAGTTTTAAGACGGGTTTTAAAAAAAGGACAGTGAGGGGGCCTGTCAAACGTGCCAAGGCAGTGCGTTCCATGACTTAGGGGCACTAACAGGGAAGGCCCTGTCTCCTCTGAGCTTCCTCTTACTCTTGGGAACGACCAGAAGCAGCTGGTCAGCAGACCTGAGTGACCGAGGTGGAGTGTAATGGTGTAGAAGCTGTGTTTAAAATGTGTGTGTGTGTGTGTGGGTGGTGGTGGTGGTGGGGGTGGTGGGGGGGGGGGGGGGGGCAAGGCTGTTTAAAACCTTTAAAAACAAACAAAAGAATTTTAATGGACTCTAAAATACACGGGCAGCCAGTGGAGAGAAGCCAGGACAGGCGTGATGTGCTCTCTTTTGCTTGTTCCAGTTAAGAGACGTGCAGCAGCATTTTGCACCAGCTGCAGACGTGTAAGTGAGGACTGGCTGACTCAGTGACAGAGACAATTACAGTAATCCAGCCTTGATGAAATCAAGGCTGGATTACTGTTTCAAACTGCTACCTTGAAAGAATAGATTTTACCTTTGCCAATTTTCTCAAATGATAAAAACCAGACTTTACTGTGGCCCTTATTTGACTGATTGTACACACAAAGAAATAATATAAGAAAAAAAATTACTGCAGATTAGATTTTGTGTAGTTTAACTCGTAATTGTGTAACATTTGCAGTCCGTCCTCAGACAGGTTCAAATCCGTCAGCCTCTTTCCTGCTCTCTGTTAGCACATCAAATGCCTGTAACTTTTAAAAAGCTACTCTCATTCAAGCATTCATCTGAAATTGATATCAGAAAGTACAAAAATAAATAAATCTAAAATCAGACAACGTCTTGAAATTTAAAATTTAATAGAAATTTAAGTCCTCTAACAAAATTCCACTCGTAATGTGTCAAATATTTTCTTGGAGCTTTATTCCAACAGGTTTGGACTCTGTAGCAGCGTGATGCTCCCACATGTAAAGACGGACATGCAGCCTTATGCCGAGCTGAGGCTTGATTCATTATTGTTTGTACCTGAGTTTAAAGTGATGAGGAAATTCATACATTTTATCTCTAAGAGGTTCTCACAAAGATGGGAGTAAACAGATGATTGTATCTCAGCTTTGATTGTAAATTAGTTGAGGTTTGTTCTAAAAGGCTCTGATCACAGCAGCCATTCACTGTTGAAGAACTGTAGCCTGAATGAGTCATGCAATCCATGTTCATTATCATCAGTTCACAGAAAGATTTGACACTGCCCGGGATCACACTCCTCTACAGTGAACATTCACTTGCATTCAGACACCTATAAAATTAAAAATACAATGTTTGAAGGAACATTTCAGTTCTTTCCATCTCAAACCAGAGAAAAGAGCAAAGAAAACTACAAAGACTGACGTGGAGAGTGAAGTGGTGCAAATCTTTTTGTAGAAAACCAAACGTGCACCCATTAACAGAATACCACGGTATTAATCAGTACGTGCATTTGTCTGTCTTCTTTAAATTGATTTTCGTTTCGTTCATATTTGTTTGTAGGAGGGCAGATGACCACTCTGAAGGGAGAGGACATCGACTACAGTGGGAGTCCACTCAACACAGGAGGACTAGTGGCCAGTGTGGGTGTGGATCATAAGGCTGTGGTGGAGAAACTTCCAGAGTTTGACCCTGAAAAGCACTGAGACGCACACGGGTGTTACCGGCTGAGACGTGCCGTGGTGGGGCTGACCTACAGTAACCCTCTTCCATAAACATCACAGACCTGTACGCTTTTACCTCTAGACCGATTGTACCAATATGAGCTGAACGGTAAAACCAACACAACTCCCTGACATGCGAACATCTTTCAGCTTGGAGAAACTCCTGTGAAACACTCGTGTCCCCCTCTTCCACACGCCGAGGACAGCAGAGGGACGTTAATGTGAAAAACTGAGTAAAGCTGAACATTTCCACAAAACTTGTGGAGTCTCAGGTCGGTCTTCTCAAGTCCTCATCTTCATCACGTGATGTTTTGGAGAAGCATGTTGAAGAAAACATCCACATGAACTGAACTCAGACATCGAAACTATTGCAGGTTCACGTTTACGATTGGCCAGGAACTCTGACTTTGCAGTACTGGGTTATGAGTTTATTACACCGAAGAAGAAAAAAAATATTGTTAGAGTAATAATCTCAGCTTTAATCTTGATAATCTGCTCAGATTGTTTAAACTCAAGTTCAAGTACAATAAAAATGTTATAAATTTCCAAGACAAATTAAAGCCCAGAGAGTGATCACATTGACCATATATTATATATTTAAAGCACAAGCAGCTTAAAGACGCGTCTTGAAGGAGAGCCCATGAAGAGATGTGGGAGCACAGACAGAAGGAAGACGATGGCAGACATTCAGTCAGAATCATTCAAGCATGAAGAGCTTGGTTTGTTTCAACCTCCTTACAGGTCAGGATCTACACGAGTGGAGTCTTGAGCACATCGTCTCGTTCAGCTTCATGTCCTCCTGCTCAGTCTGTTTGTCTTCAGACGTCCTGTGAAACCACACTGAAGACATCAGTAGTGTCCTCCCTAAGAGCATGAACCTGTCTGATGAAACGTGCAGCCTCGTTCTGAATCATCTACCGTTAACAAACATTTTGAGAGTGAAACACGTTGTAAAACGTTTTGCAGTGTGACTGTTTGACAAATCTGGAGTGACATTAAGAATGATGGTACGTCGTCTTCCTTTCGTCAGTTTTCTTTGGACAAAGAAGTGACGTCAAAATGGACCTGTTGGTGCGGTTCACATTTGGTTGCGTACCTGACTGCACACTGCTGAAGCGTACTCGCACGGACTGAGTTTTTGATGGGTCTTCGTTCATCAGCACTTTCCACCCTAATGAAACCGTTTCCGCTCTGTGTGTTTGTGGTGAGTCATCGTGAACCAAAAGTGTCGTTGCTGGTGACCAAGATCATTTTATAATTTTATATTAAGAAACACAAACAAAAAGAGTCTTGAAGCAATTGCAGTAACAACCCGATTTATTTTCCAGCTTGTTCTCACACAGTTTGTATTAATGTGTTCTTAAAATCTGTATGCAGGTTAAAATTTGAAGTTGGAATGTTTATTTTTGCCACAGATGAAAGTAATTTGTAGGGGTGCACCATATTGGATTTTTGTCTATGTCGATATGTTAAAACTTATTTGGCGGATAACTGATACCAATACCGATATTTTTTCCTAGACCTACAGTACTTGCAGAGACTACATAGCTTTCTCTGCTGTGGAATTAAAATAGTACTCTGCATGGACTTGGTCAGTTGGGCCTGCTACCTAATGCAGGTGCCATAAAGGGGCTGAAAATGATGTAAATGTCAAATTTATTCATGACATTTATTCTCTCTAACAATGACAACACTCGAACAGTGCAAATTTATAAATTTACACAAATCTAAACCCAGCGGTGCACGTGACGTCATAACGTGCTGGTGCTGCAGGCATCATCACTGGGTTGTCATACAAAAACACTTCATATCTATATATAGATATATAGATAGATAGATAGTTATATATCTATATATAGATATTGTTCCTCCTCAATTCTGACTATTTTCCTCAGAATTCTGAGATCAGTCAGAATTGAGGAAGATAAAAATGCACGGTGGCCCTAATCTTTTTCCGTAAGTCTTTTTAATTGATTTATTTTTAATGATTTTCAAACCCACGGTCACTTGTCTAAATGTGAAACAGGTCTGAAAACTAAATGTGAGCTAACCTGACCCCTGTAGTCTTGCTCCTCATCTTCATTTCAAACGCCAGGCTTCAGACACAAAAACGTCCAAACTACTACAAACGAACTATAAATTCTGGGTTTTGAGGAGAAACGAAGTTTTACAATGCAACTGGTAGAAAAGTTAAACTGGTGGAAGACTGAAGACGGCGCAGGCTGTAAGGACATTTAGGGGGTCCTCGGTATAAATCTGCATCTTTGTAATTTAGCTCATGCTAAATTTCAGACAAATCTGTGGTTTGTAATTGCTGTAAGACGGAGCTCTCTGAGAATGTGGCTTGCTCGAGGACTTCTTGATGAGCAGGAGTTTGGCGTTACAGAATGTTTTCGTGTTTATCTGCTGGACTTGGACTAAATGTTGACCAGTGTTCACACCACTGGAATTATGTCGTGTTAATCATCTAGCAGCAGCCATGTTTCATTTGAACCCATACCCAATTCTTTTGCTTCCCTCTGCATGTCTACCTCTCCACCCAGGATGAACCGTTTTTAAGTTGGAACCAGTTTAGTAACTACTGAGGGAAACCATTTTAACGCTGTCCATATGTTTTCTGGACGTTAATAAACTGGGGGATTGTTATTGGAATGGCTAAAACAAGACTCGAACTGTGAGGTGAAGCGGATGCCTCTGCCTTTAAGCATGAACGTACAAGTTTTATTTTTGTTTGGACTGGAAGAGGCCTTCAGAGAAAACGTGTGTGCCTAAAGACGTTTAGAGGAGCGGTGGTGGATAAAGATGTTTCCAGTTCATCTGATGAACTGCTTGTTCTCTGAGTCTTTCATGCTTCTGCTGTGATTTTCCAATAAAGCGTGTGCATGATGACACAGGAAGTGTTCATTTTAGAGTCGTTAATGACCTTTATGAATTGCACTTAAAAAAATTTAAAGTTTTATTTACACAAGGACCTTATGTAAAAACGATACAATATCACTGAAGTAGAACTAAATACAAGTTTTAAACTGACATTTGACAACACATTTCACTTTCACGCCTTCAAAACGCTGCTTTATGTTCTCCCAAGTCTGGAGAAAACACTTCTTCCTTTTTGGACGGCATTTTTTGTATTTCAGCGGTCAGTCATGTCAGTTGACATGGTTACAGCGTCAGCCTTTCATAACATCATGCTATTTACAGTCGCACCTGTCATCATTATAGTCGTATATTTGTGTGACATTTTCCTAACAAGAAACACAATTTTTCATTCAACCTTTATTTAAACAGGTTAGTCCCATTGAGCCAAGAGGACTCATTTACAAGAGACGCCTGGAAAGATGAGCAATAAATAAACAATAAATGCAGCCTTAGTAATTTTGTTCTTTGTTTAGCTTATAATTTCATTACATTACTTCCTCATGCTGCTGTATTCATTCATATCCATCTACTCACTACAGACTCGTGTTCGGGCTGCTGTTTAATCCGTATTTACATTATTAATGTTTTGCGTATATCTTGGATCTTAAGCATATAGTTTAGCATTTGTTTAGCGTATATCTTAGTTTATATCCTAGATCCTTATATACTGTTTCTTTATATACTTTATATTTTTGCTGTTTTGGGGTGTAACTGGGACCTTGAGTACACAATTTTGTTCCACCTCATGTACCACATGTGATGCAAATGACAAGATACTTGAACTTTAACTTAAAAAAAGTCAACTTTATACACCTCGCATTAGGCCTGCTTTTCAAGTCCATATGTAAAAGTAAACATAAAAAAAAAAAACTATAGTCACCCTCATTCTCTCGGAAAGCTGCTATTTCCCACCGCAGCCGCTGTCTTTGAATGCATCTAGTAGAGCCGACATGGCGACTGCAGGAAATCGAGACCGCAGCCGCTGCCACGATTTGAGCTCGGCTTTGCTGAGAAAGTCTGAACTCAAATATTAAACTATCAAACAGAATTATTTGGTTTTTAGAATCTTTATTCTTAATCCAAAACATAATGATGGCTTCTTAAATCAACGGTACAGAGTGCAGAAGATGAAGGGGCGCACGTATCGTGGTTCCATGGTGTAATGGTTAGCACTCTGGACTCTGAATCCAGCGATCCGAGTTCAAATCTCGGTGGGACCTTCTTCTTTCTTTGGCCTCAGATTGAACGAGTCGACATTTTATTCTATATACTAAGGTCAAAGTTATGAATTCGTTTTAACTTCAACAAGTAAATCTAGCTGAATCGTACAGTTAAATAGATCATTGACTATGCATGTTCTTGCTCCAACACCTGAATTTGACGAGACAACAGTCATGCTGAAACAAAATCTGCACAATTATTTTCTCATGTCGATGGTTAATGTATCCACAAGTTAAAACTATTTAAGCAAAATTTGTGACTGCTGCCAAACACCACGTTTTCTTCCTACAAAACAGCCTAAATGACTAAAAGAGGACAACAATGACGTCCACGTAAGAGATGTATGGAGCAGTCCAACTATTTTCATGTATTAGTACATATTTATGCTCAGGTTTGGTGAGTAAAGTATACAGGTAAAAATACTTTGTTTACATTGATTGCATACCTGCATTTCAGAAGTGCATTCAGTTTATTTGGAAAACTACTGAACTTTTTCACACCACACCATTAGTTATAACTTCATATGTTTGACCTGACTGAATATTGTTGGAGTGTTTACTGAGCATGAACTTTGGTGTTTTGAACCACTTTGGCATGACAGCCTCAGAGCAGTTGACGGGGGAGAGGGCAGGCCCCGGAGGCCAGCTTATCACCAGCACTGTTTTTTTCCACTATGGGAGTGTGCTGTTTGTGGGACTCAGTTTGTTTGGTGGCTCCTTAATTGAAGAAGTCTTTTGGATGACGGATGAAGCATCTCAGCAAAAAACAGTCCAGAGGACGTGACTGAACATTGTTGGATTTTTTACCTGCATTATTGAACTTTGGTCTTTTTATTTAATAAATTACAATAAAATCTTTAGGACTACAAAAATCTCTAAAATGGTAGATAACTCTGCGCCAGTTCAGAGTCAGAGAGTCAGAGATACTTTATTGTCATTCGCACGACATGTACAAAGTACCACATGTGGTGGGACAAAATTATGTACACAGGGTCCCAGTTACATCCAACAATAAAAATATAAAAGAAAATCAACAATAACCTCTAAGATATGA